ATAACAGTTGATATCTGGCTGTCCTTTTTCTAATGCAGAGTGATAACTTTCTCTACCGTGTTTGATAGAGGTTGTCCAGGTTCTATTGCCAAGAATGTGTTGTCCAAAATGCCTGTTTAGTTTTTAAAGATGGAACTCCACCCTTTGCTTGGTTTTAAGTATGTATGGAATGTTATGATAGGACACAGGAGTAGTGGTGGTCAGACCTGGAAATGGTGGGGAGACAAAAATATACACATGAAATAAACTCAGTATTTTAATTAAAAAAAAAGGAAGAATTGCTTCCAGGGACAAGCAAGTGGTATGATGATTAGGGTGCAGGATTCCCACCTGACGGACCACAGTTGGAGTCCTGGACCTAGCGACTTGCTTTCTCATTCTCTCTCTCTCTCTCTCTGGTGAGTGTGTATGTCCTGTAACAAACTGAAAAAAATAAATATATATTAAATTAAAAATTTTGTAAAATTGCTTCCGGATCAGATGACTGACCAGGAGGCTGTTCAAGATCTCTGGCAGTGGAGAAAGTCTCTTTAAGAAAATAGTTGAGGGGCCAGCAGGTGGCGTGGTGGATAGGGGCGCTGGACTCCCACATGGCCAACTACAGTTCAAGTCTTGGACCTGGTGGCTTGCTTTCTCATTTGCTCTCTCTCTCTCTGTCTCTCTCTGATCAAACTGGAAAATAATAATGATAATAATAATAAGTAAAGTTAAATAAAATGATTCTTTAAAAGAAAAGAAAATAGTTGAAACAGCTTATTAAAATTTTCTGTCTTATTCATTTCTGTAACAGTTGCTATCTGGCTGTCCTTTTTCTAACGCAGAGTGAGAATTTTCCCTACCGTGTTTGATAAATGTTGTCCAGGTTCCATTGCCAAAAATGTGTTGTCCAAAATGCCTGTTCTTTTTTTTTTTAAAGAATTATTTTATTAAACTTTCTTTCTTTCTCTCCTTCTTTCTTTCTTTTTATTGACCAGAGAGGGACAGAGTGTGTGTGTGAGAGAGAGAAAGTGAGAAAGCCAGGTCCGGGACTCAAACCATGGTCCGCCATGTGGGAGTCCAGTGCCCTCAACCACCATGCCACCTGCCAGCCCCGCCTGTTTAGTTTTTAAAGATGGAACTCCAACCTTCGCTTGGTTTTAAGCATGTACAGAATGCTATGAAAAGACACAGTAGTAGTGGCCAGACATAGAAATGGTGGGGAGTCAAAAATACACCTGTGGAATTAGCCAGTATTTTAATAAAGTAGAAAGTAAGGAAGAAAGAATGAAAAAAGAGAAAGAAAGGAGAAAGGAGAAAGAGAAGAAAGAAAGAAAAGAGAAGAAAAAGAAAGAAAGAAAAAAGAAAGAAGAAAGAGAAAGAAGGAAGAAAGAAGAAAGAAAAAGAACAAAAGAAAGAGAAAGAAAAAGGAAGGAAGAAAGAGAAAGAGAAAGAAAGAATTACAGCAAGCAGGGACACGGTATGCTGAGAGTCCTGTGTCAATGAATCATTCATGTATTAAAGACATACATAGAAGCAGGTGACATCCAGAGCTATGTCAGAGCAGAGCTTCCCGGACTGAGGAGACGGCCCATCTCAGGGCATTTCAGAATATGAGGAGCACTTTTTATCCCAGGAGAGTCCCTCGCTAGGAGGAGCCTATGCCCGTGACTTACACAGGGGTGCAAACTCCTTTCTGAGGAAGAAAGAATTATTGACGAAGCACTCCCTGACAATGAGTGACAGGCCCAGCCTCTTCATCTGGCTGGAGGGAAGTCTGTCAGCGCTTGCATTGTAGTTTCACCATGAGGCTGGATCGAAGGAGGCATGCTGATGAGACTTGGCACTCGACAGCACTTTACAGTTTACAGAGCTGCCAATGCATCCTCTCTTTTGAGTCTCACCACCATCTTTTGTCCCCCACTGACAGATGGGCTCGGTGAGGCTACAGGGCTTGTCTGAGGTTACGTCGTAAGTGGGAGAGTAGAACTTTCCTCTTTGCTGTCGAGAGCACATGCTTGCAGGTGTGTCTCTGCATACAGGGATGGCCCGCCAGCTCAGGGCACAGACCAGTAGAGCAGGAGAGGCTCTGATGCAGGGAGCACAGTAGTAACAGGGTTGGGGATGCCTGGGGGGGGGGAGGATCCCTCGCCCCCTCTGACACCACCTCTACCCCACATGGCCTTCCGTCCCTTCCTGTCTCCAGGGCTCCACCTGACTGTTCCTAATACCCCCTTTCACCTGGCCCTCACTAGTGAGATTGCCCAGGTCTTTCCAGTCGAGGGCTTGATCATCCTGCCTCAGTGCCTTCGCTCAGCCTGTGCCCCCACTCAGCCCGCACCCCCTCCTGCTTCTACCTTCTCCCTCTGCCAGTCTCTCCTGACTCCCCTAGCCCCAGGGGGCTTTTCTTCCTTTTCCTCTGCCAGTCTCTCCTGACTCCCCTAGCCCCATGGGGCTTTTCTCCCTTGTCTAGCACACTTTGTCTCTCTGGGATCAGTGTCTCATTTTCTCCATTGTATCACAAGTAGTTTTGGGGAGTCCCTCCCCCTTTGCCCAGTTCAGTCAAGAGCTTTTAGGAGTGGGAAGCTATCCCCCGAGTTTCTCTCTCCTAGGAGGTTCTATCTCCTACAGTTACTACTTTTTTTTTTCTTTTGAGAGGTTTTTACTATAGGGTGCGTGCGCTCGCCAGAAAGACAGAGAGACAGAGAGATAGAAAGCGAGAAATCACCCCCCAGGGGGCATGGCCACACCGCAATCCCTTCTCCTCCATTCTCCTCTCAGGATCTTGGGCACGCATGCACACGTGCCCGGCGTGAGTTTAAGCCACCGGGTCCAGGACTCAAACCACGATCGACTACATGGGAGTCCAGCGACATAGCCATTACACTAACTGCTGGTCCCTACAGTGACTTCTTACCCACGTGCTCATCTGAGGCTGTGAGTGGCAGGAAGAAGGGTCCCGGAGGAAGAGATGAGACATGTCAGACCTCCCAACTCCAGTTTGCATCAGGGAAGTAAACAATGTGAGACAGTCCACAGCCCTCAGAAGATGAAGTCTTCAACTTATTTCCCAAGAATTATTATTATTATTATTAATTTTACTCCCAAGAGGTGGTAACAGAAAGAATTCTGAGATAAAGCAAGGAGCGTTCTCTTGGTCCTCTCAGAGAATGTCAGGGACTCTGCCGGAGACTGACCCTGCAGCGGGGCTCCAGGGACCAGTCTAAGAGCCCTGGCCAAGGCTGTGGGAAGCCCCTGGCTACTGGCTGGGTCCGATTAGGGCACAGCCCTGGCCTTGTTGGGGAGAGGCCCTCTTCCCTTCGGTGGCAGTGGGGAGGAACTGAGGGTCTCCACTTAGTCCACTCTGTTATTTTTAGTGGCCAAATTAGGATGGGAATGGTGGCAGGGCTCAACTAGGTGGCGAGGCCTCCAGACCAGTTACCGTGACTACTCCCCTGGACCTCAAGTTCCCCATCTGTAAACTGGAAACACAAGTGCCTGTTTCTTTGGCTTATCAAGAGGAAAATAAAGTACAAGAAGTGCCTGGCACGTTCTGGCTGTTAGGTAAATGGTACTTCTCTCTTTCTCCCCTTCTTTCACTTAGAAGGGGCTTCTGGAAAGAGAGTTTGCAATGCTGACCCACCAGGAAAACAAATATTTACAGTCAACAGGGATAACCTGTGAGTACAGGCGATGCGAACGGGACCAGTTACCCGGTTAACAAGAAATCCAACCTTCCAGGTCTTCCCCATTTATTCACGGTTTTGGTCTCAGGCGAAATTCTGTGTCTGTCATGCCACTGTGTGTCACCTGAGCTGAGGGAAGCTAAGGTGGGGGTCAGAGGGGAGAGCTGTCTAATCTAAGCCCTGTCCTAAAGCAGGGACCTCAGCACTCGTAGTGAATCAGGGCAGGAGGCTCCAAGCTGGGGACCTCCAGCCTCCTTGTGCTTCCTGCTTCCCCCCTTTTTTCTTTGCTCTTCTCTCCCACCAGCACTCACCACGGGGCTGGGGGGCTCACAGCTGGTGATGGCAGAGTTCATGGCAACGAGAGTCTCCTTCTGGCTTCTTCTGGGAGGCAGGACAGAGAATACCGAAAAAGAGGTGAAGTTGCTCCAGGAAAGGAAGATTAATAACGTCTCAAGGCCTGACTCAGCACAGGGGCGGGCCTCGGCATGCAGGGCAGCCCTTGGGAGGGAGGGGCCCCAGGTTACCTACCTGCAGGTTGCTAACGGAGGCCCCTCTAGCCTGGGGTCCTGCAGGTGCACTCAGTTTCATGATTTGGTAAGTTTCTGTAGTTACAGAAAAGTTAATGATCCTCCATAGCACTCAGAAAACAAATTACAGTAGAGCTGTCTGGGTGTGGCCTGCGAGAGATTTCTGGAAATCAGGTTCCAAGGGACAGGAAATGGAGGGTGAGGTGAGGCTCTGGGCTGAACATAGAGGTGTCTCAGTTCTCTAGGATAATTCCTGGTAAGTGGTTGAGCCAGAATGAAAATTTTACCAAAACAGCCCCGTCGGCCTGGCCTCGGAAGTACGTTAATGAAGTGATTCATGACAGAAGTGGAATTACATGTCCTGGGAGCAGCTGTTAAGGCTCATGGGTGGGGCAGGCCTCACAAGGCTGGAGTGAGAGCCCAGGAAAACAGTGATTGCCAGCCTTGTGCTTCTCTCCCCCGGATTCAGAAATGTTTAGTAACCCCCGCTGCAGTCCAGGAAGGCATGGTTTTGCTCTTGGTCTGCCCAAGGGCACTTGAAGGGGCCTCCTCAGATGCTCTTGATAAACTCCTCTGCATGAACAGCAAAGCACCAGCTACTCATGATGGTGGAGTGTTCTAGAATGGGGCACTGACTCCTAACATTGAGAAACACATGGAGACCACACACGAAAGTCAATGGGAGTTGGTCCGAGAGGAATTCGGAAAAGCATGATGAGGAGGTATTTGGAGAGGGAGGAAATAGAGCTGGCTTGGGTGTGATGGGAACGCCTGGAACAGTAGAGTTAGAAGTCACTTACGTGACTGAAAGGGATGCTTAGCTAGGTATTGGGTTGTCAGAAAAGTCATGATGCATTTATGCACAGAAAAACATAGAGGGACCAGCATATAGCACAATGTCTATGTCACTAGACTTCCATATAGTCGACCATAGTTAGAATCCTGGACCTGGGGGCTTAAAACTCATGCTGGGCACGTGTGCATGTTTGCTCAAGATCCTGAAAAGAGAATGGAAGAGAAAGGATTGTGGTGTGGCCATGTCCCCCTGGGGGTTGGGGGAGGCTATCCTTCCTTTCTGTCTCTCTCTCTCTGTCTCTCTGGCCAGTACATGTGCCCTATAGTAAAACCCTCTCAAAAAAAGAAGAGATAAATATAGAAAAATACATCATGACTTGTCTGACGACCCAATACATTGTGTGACACCTTTTAAAGGTATTCTTTTATTTCATAACAAGTACTTATTTTATAGATGTGGAAAATCAGGTACCCACAGTTCATAGTATACAGAGGAGCAGAAGTCCAAGCCCAGGTAGTTTCACTCTACAGCCCGAGGGGGAAGAAGATGGCAAACGGAGCCCACGACCCTCCAGGGTGAAGACAGAAGGACGACTCTGCATTTGCAGAGTGGGCTCCAGGAGAAATGACCTAAGGGATTCAGATTTAGTAAATGTGGCTGGGGAGAAAATGAAAATTCTCACCTGATGGTTCCCAGGGAACCCAGCTCATCCCAGAAGAGAGTGGGACTGTCGCGCTTCAGGAAGACAGGGACTCCTGTGGCAGTTGAGTTTTCCAGAAGTGACTGGATGCACCATTCCCTGGGCTGGGTGAGTTACCAGTGGGACTTCTCAGGGTCTCAGGAGCCAACATCCACCTGGGGTTCTACAAAAAAAGCAACAGAAAGGCCTCGCTGGCATGGGGCAGACTGAGGAGCCGCCTCTGCTGCCCACCCCAACCTGTAGGCATGGGCCAACTAGGGCTCACACTGGACATCACTTTTCCTGTCACCTTGAGGGGTAATGTGGAAGAAGGAGACTCCTCAAAGGTTCTGCCCTCCCTCGAAGTCCTGTGCTTCTCAGCTTAGCTCCTTCTCCTCCCTGCCCACTGTTTCAGTGAACAATTAAAATCCCCTCTAGCACCAGGTGAAATAGTACAGTGCATTCCAGAACCTTCCCTACTCTTTACCCTCAAGTCCTTTCTTCTGGACCTGACATGCTTTGTCTCTCCTGGTGCTTCATACAAGTCTGTTCTGCATTTACCCTTTGGTGTGAGGTCACTGTTGCCATCCTCACTCACCAGCTCAGACAAGTGCAGCTGGAGCCTCTCCTTTCCCTCCATCTTTGGCCTCCCAGAAGCTACTTCCGTAGACTGCGGTCCCTCCAGTCATCACTGGCCTGGCTGCTGCCACCATCTCTCACCTCCAAACCACAGTGGTCCCCAGGATTCTCCCATAGCCTCAGCTGCACCAGCTGCTGGCCTAACCTTCCCAGCCCAGCTACCATCATCCTGCCATCATGTACGCTCTCAGCCTGAGGTGCTGAGGTGCTCAGTCGACACACTCATGTGCTCATTTTTGACTGGATGTTACAAGCCATAGAAATCTAGTTCTAGTACTTAGCTCGAGCAACAGAGGAATTTTCTTTTGAGAACATAGAGTCTCTCTGAGCGCCCATGATCTTTCCTTAAGTACCTAAAGGAATCAAAACTCTTCAATTACATTTCCACATACGTAATTGATTAAATGTTTGTGTCCCGCCTCACATTTGGGCTTTAATTAGGTTGAAGGTAGAGCCTTCATGAATGGGATTAGGGACCTCATCAAAGAGACCCCACCTTTCCCTCCATCTTTGGCCTCCCAGAAGCTACTTCCGTAGACTGCGGTCCCTCCAGTCATCACTGGCCTGGCTGCTGCCACCATCTCTCACCTCCAAACCACAGTGGTCCCCAGGATTCTCCCATAGCCTCAGCTGCACCAGCTGCTGGCCTAACCTTCCCAGCCCAGCTACCATCATCCTGCCATCATGTACGCTCTCAGCCTGAGGTGCTGAGGTGCTCAGTCGACACACTCATGTGCTCATTTTTGACTGGATGTTACAAGCCATAGAAATCTAGTTCTAGTACTTAGCTCGAGCAACAGAGGAATTTTCTTTTGAGAACATAGAGTCTCTCTGAGCGCCCATGATCTTTCCTTAAGTACCTAAAGGAATCAAAACTCTTCAATTACATTTCCACATACGTAATTGATTAAATGTTTGTGTCCCGCCTCACATTTGGGCTTTAATTAGGTTGAAGGTAGAGCCTTCATGAATGGGATTAGGGACCTCATCAAAGAGACCCCAGAGAGTCACTCACTGTTTTTTTTTGCCTTGGAGGCTCCAGCAAGAAGTGGGCCATCTACTACCTGGAAGAACACTCTCACCAGAACTCAATCATGCTGGCATGCTGATTTTAGACTTTTAGTTTCTAAAACTGTAAGAACTAAATGTGTTGTTCATAAACCACCCAGTCTATGGTATTCCATTACAGTAACCAGAACCAAGACCACGCATAGATATACAATCCCTAATTTGAGGCAGTTCCTCGGGCCCTAAGCACTTCCAGGGGAGAAAGCCACTTGGCCTCCTCATGTAGAATGCATGCTGGCTCCTCTGGATGCACAGTCCTTGGGATAGGAGGGGGCTAAGCAGGAGGCTTTGGTCTATGTTTTCATCATTGAGATCAAACAAATCGGTACTTGGCTGTTGGAGGGGATACATGATGAGTGCTATGGTTTGAATGTGTCCTTCAAACAACATGTGTGGAAAACTTAATTCCTAATGCAACAGGATTGGGAGGTGAGGCCTGAGAGGTGTTTAGGTCATTAGGGCTCCACCCCCATGAATGGATAAATGCCTATACACACATACACACACACATACACACACACACACACACACACACACACACACACACATACATTTAGAGAGCTTTTTGCTATAGGGCATGTGTGTTTGACAGAGAGACAGAGAGGGACAGAAAGAGAGAAATCACTCCCCAGAGGGATGGACATGACACAATTCCTTCTCCTCCATTCTCCTCTCAGGGTTTTGGGGACACACGCACACACCCCCAGCGTCAGTTTTAAGCCACCAGGTCTGGGACTCAAACCATGGTCAGTCATATGGGAGTCCAGCAACATAACCGTTATGCCAACTGCTGATCCCAATTGTCAAGTTTTAAAAGGCTTCAGGCTGCAAGTTCCATCTCTTACTCTCTCACACTCTGTCTTTGACATTCTACCATGGGATGACACAAGAAGGCCCTTGCCCAATGCCAGTTCCTCAGTCATGGACTTCCCAGACTCTAGAACCATGAGCCAATAAATGTCTGTTCATTATGAATAACCCAGTCTCAGGTATTCTGTTAGAGCAGCACAAAATGGACAGCCACCAAGCAAATCATGCCTGACAAGATCAAAGGAGAACAGGGCAGTAGGTGGCATGGTGGTTGGGGGTGCTGGAGTCCCACATGGCTGACTATAGTTTGAGTCCCAGACCTGGAGGCTTGCTTTCTCACCTTCCCTTTCTCTCTGTCTCTGTCTGGTCAAATTAAAAATGATAATAATAATAATAAATGTCATTAAATAGATCATTCTTAAAAAAAAAAAAAAAAAGACTGAAGGAGACCAACAGACTTCCTCAATTGTAGGTCACTAAGTTGTAGTTGGCAGCTCTTGGTTGTGCCATTCAGAATCCATGTAGCTGAACCATCCTAATCTGCAGCAATCGGTCCAGATTGCTGGACCGGATAAAGCTTGCTCCTCCCCTATGGGGTCGGTTAAAGCACTGCAAATTCCTGACCCTAGCCTTGGATGAGTGGTGGACATGGGCCCAGTGGAGCTCATAGATACAGTGAGACCTGGCCTGGGACATTGAATTGCACTTGAACCTGGAGCATGTTGCTTGGCAGCTGCTGGTAACCACCTCACCACAACACAGAGCCTAAGCCTAAAGCCAACAGAGAGAACAGAGCCAAGATCGAGATAGGCTGGGGCCCAGTGATAACTGAATCCATACATTAAGCCATATATGTCTGTCAGTAAGTTCTCTTTTTTGCTTATAGTCATTAGATGTGCG